GGGAAATCTCCTTAAGGTCTCAAGACCTTTGGTAGTGGTGCAGCCTATTGGATCAACCGTGGTCTGACTTTTAGATCAGTGTCCTTTTTAGGGCCTTGAGGGGATGAGGCAGGCCCCAGGAGCCTTTGGGCCTTGTAAGCTGAGATGTCTCAACCTGTTGTATGCCACATTCAACGTGTTACCTCCTGAGCAGTGATCTCTTCCCATAACGGGAACAGAAACTCCTGTGGATAAAAGCCTGGGCTCCAGCAATACATGGGCCCAGTCCTTATTGTGTCTTCACCAATTCCCAGCTGTGGGACCCTGGGCAAATTACTTTTCTGTGCTTCAGTGTCCTCATCTGCAATATCGATGATATGTCTGCAACCAAGGATGTTGTAGACCCCATGAGTAAGTGCATAAAATAGCGAAGTGCTTGGTCCTCACATGAGGACATGCTTAGTAAAACTAGTAACTTGTTTTTAGGGTTAAGCCTGTTCTTTATCTGCATAACATTTTGAGGCAGGAAATAAGAGTTTCCCTAGACAGCCCTGGCAAAGAGTGGGGGGGGGCAGGTGTGGGTAGTACCCCCTAATCACCTGACTTCCTCCTCTGTTACAGCCCCCCATGGGTGAAGAGGGCAATCACAAGCGACACCCAGTGGCAGCAGGAGGTGGCAGCGGTGAGGGCAGGAAGCGGTGCCCCTCCCAGTCTTCCAGCAGGCCCGCCACCGTGATCAGCCAACCCCCGACACCACCCGCCGGCCAGCCCCTCCGGGAAGATGCCAAATGGACAAGCCAGCACTCAGACACACAGACTTTGGGAAAGTGAAAAAAACCTTTAGCCGTGGGGGTTTTTTTGTGGGGGGGGGGTGGGGGTGGGCAAGTGTCCATGGGGGTTCCCAGTCCCAGGAGAGGGACAGAGAAGGAGCAGGCCTAGATTCATTAGGATGGGCCTTCGTGCTGAGTAGCGATGTGTACACCATTTGGGCTATCAGAGGTACCCCTGGGCAGGAGCCTCCGCATATCCCCTTCCCCCTCCTCTCTTTATGCCTCTTCTTCACATCCTAGCTTCTTCTAAGGGGGGAGGGAAAGGGGGGAGATTTTATATATATATATATACATATATATATACATATATATATCAAGTTTTAAATTATTGATAGTTCATTTGGATTACCAAAATCACTCTAGCCCTGCCCACGGCTGATAGGCCGCAACCCTGGTCCCCACCCCACAGCCTCCTGCTCCCTCTCAAGCCAACTATGCAGCCCAGCAGAAGGCGCTGTGGGCGCCGTTGCCCGGCACTGTCCCATGGAAGGCTCTGGCAGCGCCTCGGGCCCCGCGAGCACTGGCCCCTTTATCATCTGGGGCTTCGCATCACCGTGTCCTCTCCCTGCTGTCCCCACTGTGCCCTTCTGCCGTCTCCGGGAGAAGGAAACCAAAGGATCTGAAACTGGAGGGCGGGGAGGGCCTCGGCCTCTCCCCCTCCGCTCTCCCCGTGCCCTTGTTCCCCAGCCCGGAGCGACGCTGCTCATACCAGAAAAGACTATTGAAAGAGGATTTATTTTATTTTGCTCTGACCTTTCCATCCTTGGGGAAGAAGGAAAAACAAACAAAAAAAGGACAAAACTAATCATAAAAGACCAAAAAAAAAAAAAAAATTTTTTTTTCAGAAAACCCCCACCTAATCCACAGAAAGTGATGTTTTTCTCCTACCCTTGGAATTCTTTTTGTTTTGTTTTGTTCTTGGAAATAATTTTTTTTTTTAAAAGTTGCCTTATTGTGGAGCGGGAATCTGAAATACCCAAATGCCTGTTTTCCTCAGTGGAGTCAACACAAGCTCCCACCTTCTCTGGATGTGCCTGGGCTGGATTGGCTAGGATCTTTCTCTGGACTGATTTGCATGTACAGTGCCTCGCGCCTTGGAGGCAAGAGAGTTGGGGGTGGCTCGGGTGAGAGCCGTGCCCCAAGTATCCCTGCTGTTGCATCGTTTGAAGCTGACGTCCTGTGTCTACACTGCTGCCACTGTCGTGTCCTCACTCTGCTTGCTGTTGCTTCACGCCAGGCCCTGTCCTGCTGTGACACTCTTCATCCTACCCTTGGAAGCCCACGGCCAAGTTTGCTTCAGACTGTTGGAGAAGAGCATTGGCCTGGATCGGGGGGACACTTGTCCTCAACTTGACCGTCTTCCCCCATCTCAAGGGGGGAAGAGATGAACATGTGGTAGGCTGAGGCTTGGAAGTGTTTTTGTGTTGCCCTGAAAGATCTTTGAGACCTCACGGAGGCTCTGTCTCATGCAAGGTGGAGAAAAATGCTATTCTCCTGTGGGTCTGGTGTGGTCTCCCCATCTTGTACCCCCTTCTGCAAGCCATCTCTGCCCGCCCTCCGATTGACCCTGCCTGGCGATGAGGAACTGAGGAGGAGCTGGGGGCTGGGGAGAACCCTGCCAGCTGGAGAAGCCCCGTGGCAGGAAGGTATATGTGGACATAGAGTATACCTGACTTCTCCGGCCACTGCCTGGACTGGGCTGTGAATGACCGTGGGATGGTTGGAGCCGGCCAGCATTTGAAGCTGGGGAGAGTGGTGGAGGACTGACCCGCACAGACTGGGCCGTGGGTTAGGTGCGTGCAGGGCCACACGTTCACCCCCAGTGGGGACCAGGCCGTGCTGAGAAGCCCCTGGCAGTGTTGCTCAGTTGCCTGCTCCCCCTGGCCCTTTTCATTTGCTCCCTCTGCTGGGCCCAGAGGGTGGGAGTGGGAGACAGTATCCCAGACTGGCAAGGGCTTTCCTTGTCTTGGGCACCTCATTGCTTTTGGCCTGCCCCCTTCCCACCTCTGCCCTCCAAGTGGTTAGTATGTGGGAAGCCCATCTCAGTTCTTGAGACCCCGTTGTCTCAAAAGCCAAGGATGAGTGTCTGATCTCCGTTCTGACAGTGGGATCTGAGGCCTTCCCCTGCCTGGTCTGGTGCCTGCCCCACATTGTACCAGACACTGGACTCCTGTACCCCCGCCTCCTCCTGCTTTATTCCCCCTTTCCTTCAGGTCGCTCAGCCCTGTACTGTATCCGGCACCACAGAAACCTCAGTGTTTGTCCTCTGCTGGGCTTGGGGGCACAAGTAAGCCTTGGGAGTATGGGAAGAAGTGGTTCCGATCTAGAGTTTATTCCCAGGCCAGGGCGCTGCCATCTCCTCCCTGACCTTCCCTACAGACATCCCAGAAAGAGGAAGCCCCTTCGAGGTGAGGAGGTGAGGACTTCATCTCAACATAGGCTGAGGATGGGGAGAAAGGAGACTTTTTTTTTTTTTTTTTTTTTTTTTTTAACATGTTAGGAATTGATGTTGCAAAGAGTAGTTTACATCTTCACTTTCTGAAGACACTTGAATTTAGGACCGATGTATCTGTGACAAGCATGCCAGAAGTGGCAGGGGCCGTTGGGGCTTGCCACTTCATACCCACCATCCTCTCTTTGGGTTCCAAGATCTGAGACACAAAGCAACAGCTTGCCCAAATCCTCTTCATCCTGCTGCCTGCCGGGGTTGGGCCATGCCAACACAGCCTTTGGGCGTCCAGCACCAGAAGGCCTGTGTGCGTCAGCCCTGCAAAGGGGCAGGTCTCTCGCCCTCTCCTGCACCAGGGAGCGGCTGCACTACCGGTAGAGAGGCGCTGCCAGGTCTGCCCCAGCCTGGACCCCTGGGGCTCAGATCAAGGTGCTGAGCCCCCATGTCAAAGTTGTTAATGTTTTGTTTTGTTGACTGATTGTAGCTCTTTTCCCCCTACCTTTTCCTGGTCATTGATTTTAGAAAAAGGAAGCTGCTTAGAAGGCCCTCGAAGTGGGGAGGAGGGGCAAGAAAGAAGACTAGCTGAGTAGGGTTGGGGTGGGATTTTTTGCCAAAAGCCTGAGTAGAGTGGTCTGGACCATCTGGTGCCCTCCTGAGTGGAATCCCCAAGTATCTCCTGTGTGGAGGGTCCCTCGATTTGCCCCAACCCCACCCTCTCCTTTAGCCATGTTGGTGGCAGAGAAGATTGGAACTTAATAGCCCATTTCTCACTGGAGAGGAAAACTTGTCATCTGGCTTTGCGGAGAAGGTTCCACCTTACGCTCATAGTATGTTATCTTTACCATGTACTTGGATGTCACATTGAAAAGGACAAAAAATGTAAAATACTTGAATGAGCTTGTATTATAACATTAATATTATTGAGAGTATCTGCGTTCCAGGCTGAAGTGATTCATTCATTATTCTAGTCTGCTTTAGTCCTTTGTAATTTGTGGTAATTATGCTTTTCTTTTTAATACAAAAAATGTATAAAAATAAAAACTTGAAAAGGCACAATTCTGGCTGGTCTCCTATCTGGGGTGCAGCTGTTGGGCGTCAGGGAAGAACCCTGGCTTGCACATGGACCCTTTACAGAGCTATGCCCAAGGCAAGGCCCCCCAGCCTCGAAGGCTGCTGCTGCATTCAAGTGGATTTCTCAGCGGTCGTGAGAGCTGCCAGTCTGGTGTTCACATTCACCTGTATCTTAATGAAGATGTGGGAACTACAGCCAATGCCATAGAAAAGAGACAACCGTCTTAACAGCTTACATTCCAGGGTGTCCAGCACCGGCCGTGGTCTGGCATCGTGGGAGGAGAGCCGGGAAGATGGCGGCTACTGCGGTTTCTCACAGGAGGGTTAGCACAGCCCCTCACTGAACAGACTCCCCGGCTGGGGTGTAAGTTCAGCTCTGGCCTTGTGCAGTCCGGGTCAGCCACGGAGCCCGGTCTCGATGGGTGCTGGGGAGGAGCACCTTCTCCCGCCCCCATCACAGCTGGCCCCTGGGCTGTCGCTGGCTTTCCCCAGCCAGAAGGCGTGGCACTGGCAGTAGTGACATCATGAAGGCCAGTCTGGCCTGGATGTATAATCACAAAACTAAGAATGAGGTGTGGCCACACTGGCTCAGTCACCTGACGGCTGTTTGTTCCCATGCCTGGCACTTGCGCATCTCATCAGAAATGGTTCTCCCGAGAATTCCATCTGAGGTTGGCAGGTGCTTTCATACCTCCCATGGCCCCCGTAGGCCAGAGACTGTAGGAGATTGTGGCCAGGGCTTCTGCAGACTCATTTGGATAGGAAGGCAGTGAATTCAACCTCGCTTCCGTGGCCTGATAGGGACATGTGTGCCAGAGGCCACTGCTTGCTTTGATTGTGCCTGCACCACTGTCGCTGCCAGAAGCCACATGATCGTGACTGTTGGAACAAATGTCGGAGAAAAGAAACTGACGCAGCGAATGCAGCTAAAGGAACTCAGTTTATTTTCCACGCTTCCTCCTTTCACATCCACGTTTTCCTCTGCCTCAGCCTTTTCTTGAGCCTTAGATGTGAACCAACCTCAAGGGCCATTCTGTTCGGTGCAGGAGAGGGTAAGGCTGCGCCCCGCTGGCAGGGCCCAACCACTCGCCTGCCCGCAGGTGAAAGGACAGCCTCTTGTCCCCTTAGGCGCCCTGCAGAGACTTCATACTCTCCAGACCTTAAACGGAAGAAATGTTCTCATTCTTCCTCTTTCTCCATACTCACTCATTTCCTGCCCTTGTTGAAGACGGGCTATTGTCTAAATGTTTATTTGTAGGAATAGGTTATGGGTGCAGGCCAGCGGCTGTGTCAATGCACTGCAGTTGTACTTCAAGCTAAGGGTATGAGTCGTCCTAGGGAGAGCCCAGGCGCACAAATGCTGGAGGTGGGTGGGGCTTTGAAAGGCCAGGGAGGACTGGTGAGCACCCAGCTGGCCTACTGGGCAGGTTCTCTGGGGTCCTGGGACTGATGGGAAGAAGTCCTTTTTAATGGTTCTGCCTGGAGGCTTGGCCATATCAGGTGTTAAAGTATTGTATAGCGCTACAGTGGGTGGTTACCTGGACTACTAGAACTGAAAGTTGAACAGACACCAAGTATGTATAAGACTGTAGTAACTGACAATGGTGGCCTTCAAATCAGAGAGGTCTTGAGGTTGTTCTCAGGAGCCACAGGGTTCCCGTCAGTCTGTCTGCTGAGGAAGAGCCAGGGTGGGGACTGCTTCACCCCCAGCAGCTCTGTAGTTTTGTTTTAGATAAGGTAGGTTCCTGGTAAAATTTCGGTTGGAAAGGTGCCCCGGCTAAAATTCTAAATAAATGGTGTTGAAACAACAGGGGGAAATAATGAGGATTTTGCCCTTTGTTCAGCTGTGTCTTTCTTGCCTTCTCCTTGGATGAAGAGGGTTCTAGACCCTGGTCCTGCTTCTGGGGCTAATGAGGGGCCCCAGTCAAGTGTCTCCAAAGGTCAGCAACTCGGACCTTTCTTTCTGTGGGTTAGAGGGCCCCCATTTTAGCAGGTGCGCAGGGCTTGGCCTTTGTTCCCCAGGTAGGGCTGAAGGTATTGGCATTTGGCCTGCGCCTCTTTGGTGTCTCAGTTGTAATCCAGGGAGGAGTTTCTATGATCGGTATTTTTCCCTTCCGAGAGGGATGATGTATGTTTGCAGTGGGTCAGAGATAAAATGGGAACTCTGTCACTGACTCAGGGTGTTTGGGACGGGCAGTGGGGTCTTGAGCCCCGTGACTGTAGCCAGGGTGTTGGGGCCCTGACTGGAGTAGGGCATGAGAAGTTTGGGGGACAGGAAAGGGGTAACATGCTATCTACTGGTTCCCCTACACCCTGGCAGCAGAAGGGGCTCCCTGGAGCCATGTCACCTCCAGTGTGGCTGCTACCTGCCATCCTCTCCATCTTGCCTACCCAAGGAGTCATCTGGGGTCTCCTTTAAGCGAACTTAGGGCTCCCTTGAGGGAGGGGTAACCAGGGCAGTGGGGGGAGACTTCGCCTACATCTACATCTCCCGGAAACAACCGGCCCCCTGCCCTCCTGGCGCTGTCTTTAGAGAGTGCGTGGCCGAATGAGCAAGTCCTTAGGTGCCATCAGGAGGCCTCAGGCCACCCGGTAGTCTGCCGCGGAGGGGACAGTCAGGATGGCCCCAGGCCCCCTCTCATTCCATCTTCGGGGAGTCGGGGATGCTCTCAGAGAGGGGGGTGAAGCCCAGCAGGAGGATGTGTCTCTCGTAGGCCTTGGTCTGCTTAAACACGGTGTCAGTCCCGTGGAGGTGGTCCAGCACGCCCAGCACCCCGTAGCACTGGTTGAACCTATGGAGAGAGAAGGGTGCTGGAGGTGCATGTGCTGATGCCCGCAATTCATTTGCACCAGCCTCTCGCGCATGTCTAAGCTCTCATGCCGCCCCCCGCCCCGTCCCCCGACTCCCCCCACACTGACCTAACAGCCTGCATCAGAATAACCAAGGGAGAAGCTGCTTGCGCACATTCCCAGGGCTCCTCCAGGCTGACCATCTACAGTCTTCCCCTGAAAAGCTCTCTATGCGACTGCAACGCACACAAGTCAGAACCTGTGGCAGAACTCTGTTTGTTCAGGGAGGTTCAGGGACTGCTTGAATCAGTAACCCCTGGAACACCTATTAAAATGCAGATTCCCAGACCCTGCTCCTTCTTTCCCACCCCCCAACCACTGTGATTTAGCATCTTTAGAGTGGACCCTAGGAGCCAGTATTTGGGAAGCACATCTCCGGCGACTCTGGTGCAGGAGGCTCACAGACACACTTAGGAAAGCCTGGAGGCTCTCAGTGCACAAGTCCCTTTGAATTGCACGCAGGATTTGTTTTTTAATATCCTCACCTGAGGACATTTTTTCATTGCTTTTAGAGAGAGAGGAAGCGGGGAGAGAGAGAGCAACGATGTGAGAAACCGATCGGTTGCCTTCTTGAATGCACCCTGACTGGGGATTGAACCCATAACCTGGGTATGTGCCCTGACCGGGGATTGAACCCCCAACCTTTCGGTCTAAGGGACGATGCTCCAACCAAATGAGCCGCACTGGCCCAGGGTAGGTTTTTATGTATATGTACCTTTTTCTGACAGTGCCCATAAGCTTATATTGGATACTCAAATGGGTCCAAGACCTAAATAAACCAAACTGCAGGGAAATCCAGGGTCAGAAGGAAAACAGCAAGGTGGTCTGGGATCCAGCATGGTCATTATTTCCCCCATCTCCAGATGTCTCCCTCCACTAGCACCCACATTTAAACTGAGACACCAGTGTCCGCTAACAGAAGCCCCGGGAGTAAAGGTGGCGGTTCCTGCCCAGGGGCCCACAGTGGGAAAGGGGGTCTTACTTGAGGTGGTGATAGTCATGGAATTCAGGTGAAGGCAGGAAGGGGAGGTGGTAGCCGCAGTGGGAGATGGTGGTGACGATGAGGGCCAAGGAAGACCACACGACGATGGAGGACAAGTGGGAGCCCATTACCAGGGGGCCCGCCACCGCCGGCAGCATGTTAGAGACCTGGAAGGAGAGGGCAGTCGGACGGTGGGCTCCAGGAGGTGAAGGGGTCCCGGCTGTGGGCCCCCTTTGCCCCAGGGTGGTACCAGGAAGACTTCCTTGACTCGAGTCTGATGAAGCTGATTTTCAGGACCTTGATTTGCTGGAATCCTTCACCTTTGTAACTTAGGACAAGTTACTTATGGTTTGAGCCTCAACTTCCTCGTTAGCAAAGCAAGGATTAAAGGCGTTCTTGGGAGGATTAGATGAGATAACCTGTGTTGGGCACCTAGCATGGCCTGGCACATGCTCAGGTAGCAGTAAGTGGTAGCCGTTTAGTGGGGACGAGGAAGGGGCTGGGCCTGTGCCCTCTGCTTCCGCGGGCAGCGGAGCTCTACTCACCACATGCTCGATAGGGTGGGCGTAGAGGGAGATCACGCCTATGGGAGCCGTCCACTCGTGGTGTTTCTTATGGATTTTCTTGTACAATTTTGGGTGGTGAAGGAGCCTGGAAAATGGTTAACAGTTAATCTGCCAATCTCCCTCCCTCCCCCACTAGATCAGGAGAAACCAAAGGCAGGAACCAGGGGTTACATTAATGGAGCAGGGCTGAAAACACACAGGCCTGCGTTTGAGTTCTACCCTACCCCTTACGCTGCGTAATTTAGGGATGGGTTACTTTGCGTCTCTGCACCTCAGTGGTATCAGCTGTAAAATGGGGAGGAAGCCCAGAAAGGATTCTCTATGGAAATGAATGGGAAAAACCCTGCTGCGCCAGTGAATGGAGAAGGCGCTCTCTTCTGGACGTTCCCAGTTGCCTCAAGTTGGCAGTTGTGGAACAGAGTCATCTCCCTGTTCGTTACTTCGTGGGCGGCTTTTAGGCCAGGTGGCGCTGCCTGCTACTCCGAGGCCCTGCTTCCATGTGAGCCGGAGCAGAGCAGGGAGGCGGCCGCGCTCACCGGTGGGAGTAGTAGAACAGGACCTCCTCGATCAGAGTGAAGACAGCCAGCTCCAGGAGGAACCAGTGGAAAGTGGGCAGCTCTCGGCGGCAAGGGTCTCTCCACAACTTGAGAGTGGGATACAGGAGGACCATAATGGGGAGGGAGATCAGGAACTGGTTGATCAGAACCGTGCGGATAGACTGGCGGAGTTTCACAGGGTCCACCTGCCCAAGGGAAGAGAGGGGAGAGACGGACAAGACTGTGAGGAAAAGGTCTTTTCCTTCCGGAGACTTGGCTCCACTGTGACCTGCTCACAGGAAGCCCTCACTCAGAGATGGAAGGCAGGGGGGACGTCTGGCCGTGGCCGGCAGCCCCTGACTGCTGCCCAGCCCCGGGGGGGAACCATCTGGTAACGCCCCTGCCTTTGGAAACTCCTGTCCTGGCAGCCTTCAGTCGCTGCCTGAACCTGCCATCTGCTTCCTGGTCCTGCAACTATCACCATTGTCCTCCCCAGTTCTCTGGCCAAGCCTTTGGGGGGCATCCAGGGCACTTGCAGAAGACTCTCAACTCTCAGGCTGATATCCTTTTTCAGCCTTTCAGCCCCTCCTCATCTGGAGCACCTTGACCATGATCAGATGCAGAGATCAGGTCACCTGCCTTGTGATGTGGTCCAGCCTCACTGGAGTGGGCCCGTAGTGCAGCAGGTGAGCCAGGTAGCTGCCTGTCGGGCCTCCTGACGAACTTCCTGCGACCTCATCTTCCTGGTTTCCACGGCAGGGCTGTCCAAGGGGGCCCTGCCTGAGCATTCTCTCCAGGGTCACTGGGGAGAGCTGGCCCCAAACACCCATCATGCGGCGGCATTTCCCTGAGAATCAGTCGCCCCCTGGCCCTTCTCTGCATCAGCACAGCAGGGGTCCCAGGAATAGCCCCGCAATCCCAGGCCACTTCCTGGGGTCTGACGCACGGGCCTAGGATGGGTCAGGAGGGATTTCTTCCTGAGCTCCCTCTGCAAGCTGTAGGTGTCTCTGCCCCACGGTGAGCCTGGGTCCACGGTGGTCCTCAGGCCCTAAACCTTCCCCTTCCTCCAGCTTGGCATTATTTTAGGAGACACAAGCTGAAGGCTTTAGGGTGAAATCTTACCATGCTTAGAACTTTCAAATGCTTACACAAGAAATTACGGAGGCATAGATATTTATATTTTTATATATTGATGAAGCTAATGTAAAATGTTTAAAATTGGTGCATCTAGGTGACGTGTAAATGAGTGATTACTGCACTATTTCAACTTTTGTATATATATTTACAGTTGTTCATAATTACAAAATGTTGGGGGGGAAGAATGGACAGAGAGAAATGGAAAACTTTGGATAAAGAGCTTTGCTGTAACAGGGAGCGCAAACATGAGTGGTAGTGAGCATGGGAGATGGAGTTTTGTTTGGTTTTAAGATGAAAAATATTACAGCATGTTGATAACAATCCAGAGAGGAATAACCTAGGAGAGGATGGAAAAAAGGATACATTGAAAGAGAAGCGAGAATGGCTGGAACAGCTCCCTGGGGCAGACAAGAGGCGGGGGCTGCAGCGTGCAGCTTGCAGAGGGATGGCCGTGATCGGGGCGAGGAGAGCTCACCTGCTCTATCAGGTGGGCAGGCAGAGCATGTGGGGCAGTCTGGACACTCTCCTCCGCTTGCTCCGCTTTACTTAGTGAAGAGGAGGCAAAGCCATCCTGTTCCAGCAGGTTAGGGGAGGCGGTGGGGAGATTTGAGGAAAGAGGAGCGGTGGGAACTAGCTATCGGGGGGGAGCAGAGAGTAAACGGACCAGGGACGGAGCATTCAGGTCCCACGTGAGGATCTGTTTTTGATGTCTTAGGGGAGGGATCAGGCCTTTCTGGAATCGGCCAAAGACTACACGGCCTCCTGGGCTTCCTTCCCGCTCGTGTGTCCGCCTGAGGATGCGCACAGGGTAGGAGCACTGGAGCTGGAGTCAGGCGAGATGAGCCCTGGCTCTGTTTCCTGGTACCAGCCTGACCTTCATCTAGTCACTGGTCCTTTCTGGACCTCAGCTTCTGCAAAATGTGGCACCTTCCCTGTGCGGCTCTCCAGTTGCAGTCGGCTGGGAAGTGTTGCTGTGTGAGGCGATACTAGTGAGAGCTGGTGCAGCCCCGAGGCTAACGGCATGAGCCCTGGCATCCGAAAGCTCGTGTGTGAGTCGTGGTCCTGCCCACATCATGTCTCAAAGCCTGCGTTTTCTCATCTGAACCATGAAGGTCATTACAGTGCTTGGCCTGGAAGATGTAAGCATGTAGTCAACGGTGCCTGGTAAGGAGACCCCCAAGATCTGACAGGTCAAGGGCTCGCAGTGGCCAAGCATTGGTTTGGGTTGGGCACTTAGGCTCCAGTCTATCCTGCCAAGCTGGACCTGGAGGAAGCCCCCTGGCTGGCTGGCAGCTCTTGTCCCAAGTGAGCCAGGCCAACAGCTCTGGTTCAAGAAGGAGCTTCCCGAAAGCCTGGCCCAAGGAGACTATTTCCCACCCATTCTGCTTTCTGGAGTGCTGGGCTGGCGGGAGCTCCCTGCGGCTGAGGTGATTCACCAGGCACCAGGGCGGATCATTGAGAGATGATTGTCTTCTCTGGGAGAGAAGCCAGGGTGTGGTTTGGGTGGAGCTGGGCAAAGAACCTGGGTTGAAGACTCAGCTTCTTTCTTGCTGGGTAAGGAAAGGCTCCTGGCGGTTGTCAGAGCACCGCGCAGGTAAGCAGGGCTCAGGGAGCTTGGGGCTCACTTGCCGGTGCTGGGTAAGTAGACGTGTGTGCTGGCCTTCTCTCCCCACCTGGGGGCCAGTTCCTTATAAGTGGGGCTGGGCCTTGTTTATCGTGGGTGAACTCAGCACCACTGTTTGAACTGAATAATTAGGAAGGAGGATGTGCTTGAAAAACCACCCCCACCTACACATTGGGAATCCACACTACCCATCTGTAATCGTGGGGTCAGCCATGCACGACAGCCGTTATCCTCGGTTTCAGTGTCCAGCCATGGCTTTCCCTGCTCCTGTGGCTGAGGGTGGAGCTGCCTGCAGGGACAGGGTGGGGCTGGGGGTCAGAAGACCAGAACAGTAGTCTCCACGGCCGGCTCTGAGATTCGGGCCAAACTATTTCCTCTCTCTGACCTCCTGCCTTGGGGGAGCCTCGTACACCATAACCTGGCTCACCCCAGCCATGGTCTCTTCTGGGCCAGTGCTGGGAATTCTGAGAGTGTGGCTGTAGCACCTGCAGTCCTGGTTGAGACCAGGAGGAGCTGCGGCAACTCTTACCGGATCGTTCTTGCCAACCTGAATCCGGTAGCGGGAGATGAAGTTGGGTTTCCCGGTTGTGTCAACCACCAGTAGAAGCCCATTGAAGCCCCAGAAGCACAGAGCAGGCACGTAGGTGACACCTAGGGTTGGGAAGCAGAGGGGACAGTCAGGGCGACCTCAGGTTCTCACAGCACTGGCATTAACCGACCTCACACTTGACGGTGACCCAGGCAGCCTTGTACACAGTCCCTGGCCACGGAGGTCTCGGTGCTCAAGGCCAGGGGACCTACCTGTCGTCCTGAGTGGCACCAATTAGCTGAGGGAAGCTTGGACGGGTCACTACTTAAGGAGTGTCTTCACTTATTTTCTTAGTTGTAATATAGGGACAACCACCTTTGTTTTGGTGGTTAAACACCAAAAAACCAAAACCAAACAAACAAAAAACCCCAAAAGTCTATGCTATAAAATATAAATCAGTATAGGCTGACATTTGGGAGTCTGTACCCCCTTGAACCCTTTGAATTTCCAATGAAGGGAGAAGCAAAGGAAGTATGGTATGGTTCGGAATGAGCACTGGATAAGGAGTCCATTGGGGGGCGTGATCCCTGTCACCCTACTAACTGAGCAGCGCGACCTCAGGTGTCCGTATGTCCCAAGGGCTTCTTGGTTAAACAGCCTTCATACCCCACTCTCCCGGGCAGTCGTGGTCCAGACTAGTGTATTCATGGCTCTGAGCATTCCTGCAGCAGAGAAACCTGCTTGACCTTGTTGAACTCAACCTTTCCCAGGCTTTCTTTACCTAGAACTCTGTTTTCTCAGAACACATAAAAATAGGACAGCCATGCATGCCAGTTCACCCGGGACAATTTTGAATGACCTCTGTCATTCCAGCATAATTAATAACACCTCATTTACTCTCACAATGTCTCTATTTGGATGATGTGATGTGGTATATGGCCATCCCACCGATTACCATTCCACGGCACTGATGTCGTGTAGGATATATTAGAAAATGATGATCGAGACTTAAAATTTAGATTTTTTTGCTCCCCATCCCACTTTCTGCTCCACATCCCACTTCTCCATTAAGTCATTCCAAGTATTGCCGATGGCCTACTGTGAAAAAACGAGCACTTTGCCCATCCCAATTTAACCTAACACTGATAATATTAACTTTAATTGTCCATGTTTGCCTTCTCCTCTAGAGTCAATATCTAACAGACAGGATGTTTTAACCCTGTGTCCCTGTATCCCTCCTCCATCGACCACAGTCCTTTGTGGCAGTTGGTATCTGAAAAATACTTGGCCAGCATGGCGGGCACATATGATTGGCACAAATATCCTGGAGGGCAGTTTGGCAGTATCTGAAGTAAAAGACAGACAAAGACAGAGGAAAGGAAAAAAGGACACACATATACATATCAGTGTGCATCACAGCATTTTTAATTTAAGATTTTATTTATTTATTTTTAGAGAGAGGGGAGGGAGAAAGACAGGGAGAGAAACATCAACTAGTTGCCTCGGGCACACCCCCAACTGGGGACCTGGTCCGCAATCCAGGTATGTACCCTGACTCGGAATCGGAACCGCAGCCTTCAGGTGCCTAGGCCAACGCACAATCCACTGAGCCACACCATCCAGGGCATACGGCATTTTTTTTTTAAATGGTAGAACATTTAAGCAACCTAAATGTCCATTAGTAGGAAACGGGCTACATTGGAATGGACTGGGCAGCTTAAAATATTAAGTAAATCTATATTAATTGACATAGAAAGATATCCACAATCTATCTAATGAAAAAAAAGTTTTAAAAAATGTGGTGTCTTGCCCTGACTGGTGTGGCTCAGTTGGTGGTCATCATCCTGCAAAGCAAAAGGCTGCCAGTTCGATTCCCAGTCAGAACACATGCCTGGGTTGTGGGTTCAGTCTCTTGTCAGGGCGCATACGAGAGGCAGCTGATTGATGTTTCTCCCTCACATCGATGTTTCTCTACCTCTATTTCTCCTTCCTGTCCCCTCTCTCTGAAAATAAATAAATAAAACCTTTAAAAAACATAAAAATGAAAAAGGTGGTGTCATAAGTTCAACCATATATCCAATATATAAGAGATATAATATAAAATGTTAATACATTTGAGAGTGGCTATTTCTTAGATATGGAAAAATGGGTGATTTCTCACCAGCTTTATGATTATATGAATTGTCTGATTTTCATTTTAACAATGAGCATGTATCTACTTTGAACCTTAATAACAAACTTTTTCATTTTGGAAAAAAAAAATTTGGGGGAGGTGGTTGCCTAGTGAGCCATCCATGAGGGCGGCTGCCTACTTGGAAACCCAAGGGCTCCTTGAGGAATACTGACTGAAAACCACAGGAGAGAACCTTGAACTTTCTTCCATCTCTAACGCTTCCAATTGCAAATATTTTTTGTCTGATATTTGCTTATTGCCGAAGTACTAGGTAGTATTCTCGGTATCGTAACAGAGATATGTAAAATGTTTTCCCACGTTTTCCCCATGGCCATGTGCAGTCCGCACCGTTCTTTTCAATGGCTGCCTAAGATTCCTTTGAACCAGTCATACTCCATGTTCAGCCCATTTTCAGAGTTGTCCTTCCAGCTGAAAACAGGGGACATTTTATTTGCACTTTTGCCTTAGGACAACTGAAGCTTTCTTTAGATCTCCCTTTCTAGACCATGATGTTGTTTTTTGATGGGGGGAGACAAACACTTAAATATCTTAAATATCTCTATCTCCTCCATACAAGGTTATCCCAGAGCAAAGCTAACAACTATTATTTGAGTGAATGAGGACATTCGCTATTGCAGGGTAGGCTGTTATAAATAGTTGAAATGGCCTTTTCTTCCACTACGTTTCCTCAGGCTTGTTTCGAGCCACTCACAGGGTCAGTAAATATTTGAGCGGCCCCTTGCTGCCCAGCCCCCAGGGTTAGATGGCACCAAGTACAAGGACTCAGCCTCACATGCCACAGAGCTTGCTCTCTGCACTTGTGGACCTGGCACCATGTTTATACAAACTATTTCTTTTTTCAGTTTTCTATTTTTTGGGGGAGGGAGGCTTCCATTTCTCAACTTCTTTTGTCCGATACCCTTAGACATCCATTGCAGGTTGCCCACAAGCTTATCATTCTCGGGGCTTAGCACTGTCCTAAACTTTTAAGTCCTTATTCCTTGTAATAGTGCCCTGAGAAGTCCCAAAGCAGGGGACAAAACAATAGGACAAGAGCAAACTATAGTCAGGTACTCCAGCCCTGGGGGGTGGGGGTGTCGAGGAGGCTCACTTATCATGAAGAGGATCCACTCCTTCCCTTCGAATGTGAACAGCAGCCTCTCCCACTGGGCTTGCCAGAAGTAGCCAGAAGCTCCCCAAAATCTCTGTAGATGCCTTGGAAGAAAAAAATCTCTCAGGTTTCTGGGTGAAGACCGGTGGGCGCTCTGATCCCAGACCACCACCCCGCTGCCCTCAGGCCCTGAATTAAAGCTGACCCACCAGACTCACCATGTGACTGAGTTCCAGAAGGCTACAAGCAAGAGGAGGCCAGAGCCCAGGATGAAAGCTGTCCTCCTCATGGAGCCCCAGATGTGTCCTTCCTAGGAGGATATGGGAGTGTCAGGCCCCCTCAAGCCTGCCTTCCCACACTGCTCACTCCCCGCTGAGGCTGCAGGGCGCTGTGTGACCAAGGTGCAGCTGTGCCAGCCCTGCACATCTGCTGACCTTTCCCCAGCTTCCAGGGGAGGCTTATCAGGAGCCCTGCGGCCGCGCACGGGTGTGTTCCTGAACATCGAGCTCGAGATCAGGTGAGGGAAACGAACCAACCTGACTCCAGAGGAAGTGTCAGGCAATTCTGTCCCCCAGAGAAGGGCAGGCGAGCCGCCTAGCAGCTGTGGGATTTTGTCACCAGTCTCTTGTTGAACAGAGATGCCTATTATGTACACAATGGAATCACCTGGGAGCGTTTTTTAAAAATTCAGATGTTCAGGCCCCTCCCAATCCAACTATCTAAGAGTCTCTGGGGTGGAGCCTGGGCCTCCGGATTTTTAAAAGCTCCCCAGCTAATTGCAAGGCGGAGATGGCCATCACAGAAGGGTCTGCAGAATCCTTAGTGAGGGCCTAGGGACTTCACTGCAGCCATGAGCCATGTCTACTTTCCATCCCCAACACCTCTTTGCTCTTGAAAAAAGAGTAAGTGAATGTATGTGCTGACGTTTAATAATTCCTCTGCCTTCCAGCAAGACGGCCAAGGTTGCCAGCTGGGCAGGACGATGAGCAGTTCCAGGGGCAAAGTGCAGACCCCTGGCTGTCACTGGGAGCTGCTGAGGCGTCCCTCAGAGCCTGACGCAGAGACCATTGCAAGCTTGACATCGCACAGGAAGGGCACAGACTGGGAGCGGGAAAACACTGGAGACCAGGTGAGTCGCCAATTTCTACTGTGCCACCGACAGGAATGACAAAGGTCCCTTACATCCCCGATGGAGTCCGCTGATGCTTTCAAGGGAGGGAACGGTAGGTGCCTGTCCCTGCGTGCCTGGGGCACACCTGCAGTCAGTGAACTGGGCCAAGTCCTAAGGGATTGAATAGGACGCTACGTTTTAACCCAGACTTTTGAGATCTGAAGGAGGAGATTGTTTTGATTGAGTCCTTCAGAGCCACCTGAGTCTGCACAGAATCGTTTCTTCTCAGCTGATCCACCCCACCTTTGATCAAAAGATCAAAGAGAAGCAGGTCAGTTTCCAGGGCTGGTGAAAAGCTCCGGAAGGGCCAGTGCTCATCGGGGCCTTGAGCTCCAACACTGAGCTTTTCTCTCCTTCTCCGTGTCCCTCTCCATCCCTGCGGACGGGCGGGACCCACAGGACCGGAGGAACTTGTTCTTTTATGCAGGCCATTCCAAGGTCACCCCAAGCTTGTCAGACGGGTTACCTTGGGCTTTTGCAATCATTCCTTTTCTGGGATTCAAAGGACTTTTTCCATGAATTTTCCAAACTCACTAGGAATTTTTCATTTGAGTCTTTTAAAATTGTTTTTATTGATTGACTTTAGAGAGAGAAAGAACAAGGGGGAGAGAGAGAGAGAGAAACTGATATGTTGTTTCACTTATTTATGCACTCACTGGTTGACCCTTGTATGTGCCCTGACTGGGGATTGAACCCTCAACCCTGGCGTATTGGGACAGCTCTCTAACTAACTGAGCTACCCGGCCAGGGCTCATTTGAGTTTAATCAAATCAAGCTTAGTCAAATTATAAACCTTAATTTCACACCCTGGCCGGTGTGGCTCAGTTGTTTGGAATGTTGTCCTGTAACCGAAAGGTTGCGGGTTTGATTCCCTGTCAGGCATACACCCAGGCTGTGGGTTCCGTCCCTGAGCTGGATGTGTGTGGGAGGCAACCAATCAATGCTTCTCTCTCACATCGATGTTTCTCTTTCCTTCCCCCCTCTCTCTCTCTCTCTCAGCAATGAAAAAATGTCCCCAGGTGAATATTAAAAAAAAAAAAAAACATACACAGACCTTAATTTCACATTTAAGATTAGATATTTTTTCAGGGCTTGTGGTGTTTTCTCTCTCCAGCAGCCCAAGCAAAGGGTGTACAAAGAGAACACAGGTCTCTGTGGAGTACAGAAGCATGCAGTACAGAGGTTAGCTGGGGTCAAGAGCTGGCTCCCAGCCCCCGTTTCCAGTCCCCAAGGGGCCTCTCTTGTCCCCAGAGCAGTTCTAGAGAGGGGCGGTTCCAAAGGCCTGAGGCGTGGGGCACTTTAAGGACCAAGAGGAAATGCTGGGGGAGCTGTCGGCAGGCTGCTCCTGTGCGTAGGCCGAGGAGCTTTGCTCGTAAGTGCTGTCCACTCGGCTACTGAAATGGGCACATCGCCCATGGCTCAGTTACCCCTACACCTTGGGGGAGGCGTCAGATACGCAGCAGATAGGGAGAGTCACTGGCTGCATCCTCACCAGGTGGGTAGGTGGGATTTACCTGCTTTGGCTTCTCGCCATGCAGCTGACTCCTGGCTTCTCCTTTCATCTGAAATAAGAAAGCAGAGGTGGTGAGTCTGGATGTCATTTCACACGCAACCCAGGAAGCAGGGAATGAAGAACGTCAAGGAGAATGGCTAGCCGTGGTTTTTAGATAGATAAACTGGTTAGAAGAAATAATAGACTACATAAAAAAGATACAAAATACTTAGTAATTTTAATAAGACACACGCAAAATCTAGATGAAAACTTTAAAATACTCCTGAAGGACACAAATGTGGACTTGAATAAATAGGAAGACAGGTCACATAATTGGATGGGAAGACTCAGCATCATAAAGTCAGCAGTTTCCCCCAAATTAACTTATAAATTCAAAGTTATCTCAATATAAGCACAAACAGGTTTGTTGTTGCTGTTACTGGAACCAGACAAACTGATTCTAAAATTTACATGGAGAAATAAATAAGAATAGGCAGGGAAACACCAGAAAGGAAGAAGAGTAGTGGAGGGAAAGGGGATAAAGGATAGTAGGTCTAGCAACATATAAAAACATATTATAAAACTTTTCAAAAAATGTGTTTATTCTCTTTTCATTTTTTCAAGCTACTAAAGAGTTATTGCTGTAAGATAAAGGAATGATATAGCCAGGACTTAAATAGTAGTTCTAACTTGAGTTGGTTCAATTTATATTCTTTGTTATTATTTGTTGATTGGTTTACATACAAAGACCAAGATTTTCCTGAAAGCAATCAGCAGTTCTATGGAACAGTAAATACATAGAAATGCCACACATGAACCCCCTTTTAAAATGCAGCCTAACAAGAAGTGGCTAGAAGGGGAAGCATTTGCAATGTGCTTGAGGTCTCCATGTGTAGGCAGGACAAAATAAATCTTTCCAGGAGTCATTAGTAAAACTGATAGTTAATAAGTGGAGAGACTAAGGTTTGCTCGTTTTTATTTTTTAATGTGATGTTGCAGACATTCCCTAGTTATATAAAGAAAATGATCACACACACACAAAATTTTTTTTAATTTAAGGAATCCAAACAGTGGTCATTACACTACTGGATAACAGTTCCAATATTAACAAATGATGAACACAGATTGAAACCCAATTGTATCTCTATTTAGATAGCAAAATAAACAAAAAGCACCAAAAAAAGTCATTGTCTATTATATATGCTGAAAGAAATGTTTTCGGCCATGTAAACACATTAAGTTTGCTTTTCCCTGCTTTTATTTTTATGTATCGCAAGTCAATGCATACAGCGATAAACTACTTTGAATAAAAAACTAAAAGCCTTTATTCTCAGTAGATTACACAGTGTTTTGGTACTAGAGTTTTGGCCTAAATTTGGGGACGATATTTCATTTACAACAAGCTAATTCAGTACTATCAAAAACACCTACAAAAATAGAAGTCCCCCACACTTATACTCCATAGAACTGTAAAATGTGAAAAGGTAGAAACTTCCTGGGATTTCCCAATGTATCTGGAAAGCACCGCCAGCCTAAGGAAAGCACTAGGGCCAAATGAGCAGCCTGGCAGGGGGCGTGTTTCCACTGCGATGCTTGTATTCATGCAAGGAGTGTTCCAGAAACAGCAGTCCTCGACACCCCTCTTGATCACGAAGATAGGTACAGTCTCTGACAGTTCACCCTGTTCTTGGGCCAACACTGCCTGTCTGATGCTGTGGTGGCCCCACACTGAGGTCAAGGCCAGCGCACCCGCCGTTTCTTGCAGCAGCGCATCCTGTTGGCTTTGTGGCAGTGTTAGGGTTGTGTCTGCATCGTGTCTTCCATCTGTTGCGGGCGAGCATCCAGTGTTTCAAGATGGTGTCCAAACTTGTCCTTCGAGGTGGAGATCTTGGGTTCAGGTTCATGCTCCTCAGTGTAGCGTCCGCAGATCTGACTGAGCCTGCCGCAGACCTGCCTTTGGTCACTGTGGCTGCAGGGATGGCCACCGCAGGCCCCCTCCCCAGCCCTTATTCTCAAGAAATTCATTGCCTGACTTTTCTGATGGTTTGTCTTCAGCCTGTATTCTGGCAACTTGTGTGTGCCCCTCTGAATGACCTTTTAAATCTTGGTCTTTCTCAGTTCTTTTTTTTTTTTTTTTTTTTTAAGATTTTATTTATTTACTTTTAGAGAGAGGGGAGGGAGTGAGAAAGAGAGAGAGAGAAACATGCAAGAGATACAGCGATTGGCTGCCTCTCATCCCCCCCGCTAGCTGGGGAACCTGGCCTGCAACCCAAGCATGTGCCCTGACTGGGAATCAAACCAGCGACCTTCAATTCACAGGCAGGACTCAATCCACCGAGCCACACCAGCCCCGCCAGGGCTTCAGGTCCTTCTTTCTTGGCATTCTTATTAAGTGCTTTTGCAACAAACTTAAAATATCTGTGTTTGAAACAAAGCCATGACTTTTCTAGGAAGGCCATACCCTGGGATGGTGGCTGGGTTTAGGGGGAGGGGGGCTGAGCTGGCAGCCAGCGTGACTCTGTTGAGTGTCCCACTCACTACCTGTTTTACTGTAAAGATTGAATAAATGAAAGAGTGGGGCTAGCCCCTGTATAGGCATACATATACAACAGATTAGGAAGTCCAGAAATAGGCTGAAAATATATATGGGAATTTAGCATATGATAAAAAGAAAACAGTATTATTGGGATCTCAATTGGACAGATGCTGAACCTCCCCCATAAAAAGAGAAATGTGAATTAAGACTGCAATGAGGTGCTGTTCCTCGCCTATCGGTGTGGCAAAAATCCAAAATTTTGATCACCTGCTCTGATGCTGAAGCTAAGGGGACTTTAAAATTGTATTTGTTCTTCCTTTTAAAAGATACTTTTCTCGATATCTAATTCACATAGCATAATATTGACCTCATTTAAATGGCTTTTAGAATAATCACAGTGTTGTGCAACCACCACTCCCGTTGGTTGTTATTTTCATTTCCCATAAGAGAAACCCTGCACCCCTCAGCCATTGCTCCCAGCCCCTCTGCCCCGCACCCCCCTCTAGGTATAAGGACCACTGACCCACTTCCTGTTTCTATGGACCTGCCTCTTCTGGACATTTCATAGCAATGGAATCCTACCATGTGTGGCTTTTTGAGTCTGGCTTCTTTCACTTAGCTTAATGTTTCCAAGGCTCATCCATGTTCTTACATGTATCAGGACTTCCTTCCTTTTATTGCCAAATAACATTCCATTATATGGATAGATCATATTTTGCTTATCTGTTCATCTGTTGATGGACATTTGAGTTGTTTTCAGATTGTGACTAATATGAAAAATGCTGTGAATATTCATGTATAAATTCTTGTGTGGACATATTTTAAAATTCCTCCAGGACACATGCCTAGAAATGGAATTGCTGGCTCACATAGCAACTATATTTAACCTTTTGAGGACCTGCCAAACTGTTTTCCAAGTGGTTGCATCATTTTACATCCCCTATAGCAATGTGTGAGGATTCCAATTTTCCCCATCCTCACCTATTGAATAGTACCATAACCTGGCTGAAGAGGAGCGTGACAGATCATCTGGTCCTGCCGTGTGACCAGGATGAAGGAACCTAGACATAGGAGGGGAGGTGACCTCTCAGAGTTCATAGATGGCAAAGTCAGGATCAGTGGGACATTGTATTCTGTTGTATTTGATGATTGAACTCGGTTTTATTATTCTAGGTGCATGTCTACCAGCTGTGACCATAGGAAATATTGCTTCCCTTTACTCACATTTCTTCTAGGTTACTCAGGTGACTTACGAAGTCAGGCAGCAGCAGAAGCGATGGGCAAGCCGCTCACCATCTCCGCTCTGAGTCACAGGACAGAAGGAAGGATGCAGTCAGCTCAGAGAAGCAGCCTGCTGGGGACAAGTGCTGGGACATTTGAAACCCAGTCAGGGAGATAGCATCTGACTTAAGAAAAGGCACCAGAATGTTTGGCGGGTGTTGGCCCAACCCCCACCTGGAGGTGGGGAATGGATTTCGGCCACTCTACAGCCACCTCCACAGCCCACCGCAGCCCCACCTGGGCCTGCTTCTTTGCCATGCCTGCTCCCTCCTCCAGCTCCCGCTGTAGCCTGGGTGACAGCAGGGGACCTGTTGTGGCTTGTAGGTGTGGAGCTCTGCCTCTCCCTGACTTCTCATGGAAACGGAGTGGAGCTGAGGCACTCACTTCCTGCGCTGACACAGGATGCCAGGCAGGTTGCTTTGCATACCTGGTTGTTGGTGGTGGGGGGTGTCTTCCATAGTCACATTCTGTACCAGCTGAGGCTTCCAGAAGAGCTGAGCAAGCATTTCAGGACGGGCAGTCTCAGCCCACATGGATGGGCTATAGCCCTGCCCCACATCTAGGACAACAGTGTCACTTAATAATCTGGGTTGATAGGGATTCCAAAGAATTCTCCTTTATATAATGATTTTCTCCACCTTCGTTGTCCAGAGCATTTCCGGCTGGCCCGGTCCTGGGCTTGGCCCACACTGTCACGATGGATGAGGCCCCACTCAGAGAAGCCACCCTTCTTTTGCACAGCAATAGGATTTTGGGATGAAGCAGGTCATTTTCTTTCTTTTTTTTTTTTAATTTTCAAAAATTCTGTCCTGAGGATATATTTGTTGATTTTAGAGAGAGAGGAAGAGAGAGAGAGAGAAACATTGATCTGTTGCCTCCCATATGCGCCCTGAGCAGGGATCGAACCTACAGCCTAGGTATGTGCCCTGATCAGGAATCAAACCCACAACATTTTGGTGCACAGAACGACTCTCCAACTGAGTCACCTGGCGAGGGCAAGGCAGGCCATTTGCAATTTGCCTGCTGCCCAGAGTTCCCAAAGCACACAGATCACTAGGCGTGAGGAAGCCAGTGGTGCTAGGAACCTTTGGGGATAAGCCAGTCGGGGGTCCTGACAACAAGGAAGCAAACATTCAAGGAAACGCCACAGCTGGGGAAGACCTGGAGAGCTGCGTGTCTGCAAACCACCTGCAGATGGGGAACCTTGGCATGGCCATGGCTTCCCTCCGCGGTGCTTGTTCAGAAGTGTAGAA